TTAAAAGACAACAAAGTGCATAATGGTTAGCAAGATGGTTAATCCAAAACTGACATATGGCATGGATAGATGGCAGGGAAAAAGAAATCGACTGGAAAGCAACACATGAGGCATAGCAACCGACAATAATGCTAAGCAACAAAACAAACAAACAAGACTACACAAGAAGAAACTTTTGCTACAGAATGCTCAATAAAGAATTTCCAATTTTGAACAAACTAGCAGAGCGAAGACCAGATATATACAAAACAGCAACATGTCTGAGCTGCAAAGGCAAAGTAGAAACATACCAACACATGATACATGAACATTGAAAAGAAAACATTATCAACAAATATAATAGAATTGTGAAATAGGAAAGTAGTGCCAGGGCAAAAAAAGAGAAACACAAAAAGAAATACCATCAATACCATAAAATTATAGACTCGAAACATACAAGAACATTAATAACAAAAGCAGTATTTACAAAAAAAACAATCAAGTACATTAGAAACAGGGTATGCGAAAGAGTCATAGAGACATATAAAGCAATTACAAACCAAATGGACAAGAAACTAAAGGAATGGTAGAAAGACAGATATAAAATAATAGCAAAATGGGAAAAAGAAAATGGCATTATTGTGCAAAAGAAGAAGAGAAAGAAAACAAAAAAAAGGAAAAGTCCAATAAAAGAAAAGAGGACCAGTAGTCAAAACCTGAAAAAAAAAGAAGCTGTAGTAATAAAATAGGCAGAAAAGATAACAAAATGGTATACAAACTACAAGTGAAATGCAGAACACAACAACTATATATACATACTATTTATTAATACTAATGGAACCTTGGCACATTAGTTTTTGATCTCTTTTCCCACTGCACAGTAGTGAGAATAAATCAAATAGTTCAAAGTCAATATTTGATATTTCTGATATAGTCCAACATATACTGTAAATAGAAGTGAAGTTATAATATTAATGTATACAAATCTGTAAATAACTAATATAAATGTCACAAACTAATAAAGTATGCTGGGCAAGGCCTAGCTAGTATTTTTTTTTAAAAAAAAAAAACAGTTATCTGATGATATTCAAAATTAAATTACTTTTAGATATTTTTTCTATATAAAAATCGTTTTACAATTTATATTCTAAATATTATAAAGATTTATATTGTCCCAGTAGAGCTCCGAAAAAGTACTAAACTGGTATCAAACTGGTATCAAAATAGTACCAATCTATAGTAAATTTAATATATAGGTTATAACCTACTCATATGTTTTTATAGTAAATTTAAGTATCGAAGTGGTATCAAAGTGGTATTGTTAGAAGTCCTAGTCTCAGATATAATTTTGATTAGAAATTATCTTTTATATCTTTAATTGCTTCAAAACAAAAAAAGAAATTAAACAAATTATAAATTTAATAAATTTAATACTTTATCTAAACAATAACAACTATTTAATTTTCAATGTATAACAAGTGATAGAATTAGTGTGCAGAATCACTGCAAATAGATTTTCAACAGTCAATATTTATAATTGAATTAAAGTATTTACTAAAACTTTTACATTGTCCTATAATATTATATAAAAATTTCATTATAGTATAGTAAATATCTTACTATCTATTAATATTAAATATAATAAAACAATAAAAGCAAAAAGTAAAAAAAAAAAAAACTCTTTCTCAATCCCATAAAAACTACCAAATTAGGAAATATCCAAGAAAACAAAATTTCGTCTCAAGGAAAAAACAAGGAGAAGGGAGACCCCCTCCCAAACCTCCCAACCCAAACCATGAATATACTCTTCTCGATATAGTCCTCGTCGACAACAAACAAAGGCTTTCCAAAGTTTCAATAATTTACAAAAATAACAAAACTTCACAAATTTTCGTCACAAAACCTGCCAAAGAATTTCAAATTCCCCTCCTCGACAATTGCCTTAAATCCTGGTTTATCCATACAATCATAAAACAAATCAGAACCCTTGAAGAACACATCGAAGTCATAGAAATCAAATTTGAGGAGAAAAAGCTAACAACCTGTCTCTTTAGCCCATAACTCAAATTCTCAACCTCAGTCTTAAATCTCAAGTCCTTGCAAACACTCAACAATTTTACAGAACACCAGATGAACTTTAAGCTGGAAAAGAGTGATAGAGAGCATGCCATTAGAGAAGTTATCAAAAACATAATGAATTACGACCTACACCTTCCCTGGACCAAAGTAAACATTATTGCAGATGAATTCTCTCAAACCTTCGACATCCAAAAAACTGAAACATCCAGACCCCCTCCAAATACACCCACACCCACAGAGGAAATAATTGACGACAATAGCATACAACTTGATTGTGGTAATGAAACATCACATGCAAGTACCCCTGAGCACAATGCCAATCAGTCCAGCCCTCATTGTAACAATCTTGACCTGTAACTGCACCACGGGACCCATACTGCGCATAGCGACCCGGACGCCCCGGAAGGTATCTGATCCGCCCCTGACGACCTGCAAGTCTGAGACACATTCCCAGACATTTGTCAGACGTATGTATGGTGCGATTCTGACCCCTGACGATGTGCCACGCCACCAAGACGCCACTAATTAATTACTATAAGCTAATGTAACCAAATTAGGAGCATAAGGCCATAGAGCGTACATATTGTTTATATTATTTTCTTTTTATTTTCTTTTATATTTCTTTATGTTAATTAAGTACCTATGTCTCCGGAGGTTAAGCCTTATATAAATATATGTATTTTTATATTTATTTATTTATGTATTTTTACGTTGTATGAAGCCAACATATATAAAAGGATGCTCTTTTGACCTTAATAAAATTTCAACTCTGTTGGCGTTAAAATAATAATCGCTCAAGTTCACTGTCTTTTGAAATCACTAACAATTTTATTAAGACTTTTACAGACATATACAATAATCCTATAACACTTATCTTAAATTTCTTTATTGGCAAATTACTGAAAATAATTATGTATATAGAAATAACAAAGAAAGTAATAGCAAAAGATAGAATAAATTAAGAGAAAACAATCTCTTCATTACTATAGCATATCTTTATGACTTTCTATTATGTGAAATCCAAAACAATACAAGATTGGATTATTCTATAAACTGTGAATGGAAAACTGACTATAGCAAAAATGAATTCATACAACTGTTTATTCAGCAAGCTATTATAGCATATATGAATAACACAATATGGATTGTTAGATTCAAAAGAGATATGAGAAATATTCTAGAAAGGGTCAAATGGTTTTATATAATCAATAACTCCCAAATCAATAGCAACAAATCAGTACTGATCATAATAAACAATCATAACAAAAGATTAAATGTGATTAAAATTAAAGTAAATTAACAAGAAGTAATTGAAAGTAATCATAATAGCTTTATCAGATTTCTAGAAATATGAATAGAAAACAAGAGACATACTAAAGACACAATTCATCAAATCAAGCATGAAATCATAACAATGATATAAAGCCTTTAAAAAAAAAAAGTAATAGACAAGTACATAGGGTATATTTTAAATAGAGTGCTTATCCTATGCATAGAATATTGAATGCAACACTGCTTCCTAAATTAAAATATATGTAACAATCTAATAGCACAATTAAGAAAGATTTTAAAAAAAATAGCAGAATTGATCTTAATAATTCTCAATTTATCTATCCATTATCAATTTTTATTTTTTAATTTTTCAGAAAAAAAATAGATACTTATTTTTTTAAAGATTAATATAATTATTTTATTATCAAACTTGATATTGTTTATGTATTAATAATTATACTATATATATTTAAGAAATTATTATATAACTATTGATATCTAAATTTTCAAAAAACATATTTATTTAGGAAATCCAATAAGATATTATATAATAATATAAAGTTCTAGTTATTTTTAATAAAGTTAATAATAATAACAAAAGTTTTTTATTTATCTCTTAACAATATAAAGTTTTATACAAAGTTAAATATCAATATGTATAAGAAAATTAAATACAATTCTATTTATTGGATATTTCTGTTACATTTAAAGAATAAATATATCAAATTCTTTTTGTAACTTGAATACAAATTTGTATAAAATAACTGCAGCATCATTATACATGAAGGTATTTTCAAAATAGTAAGTAGTTACTATATTATTTATATTATTCTATATTTGTATAAAGTTTCATTTAAATATTTAAATGGTATAATAAATTTTGAAAAAATTCATATTAAAACTATTTTTTGCAAAATAAAAAATTTTTATAATCAATTTTAGAAATAGAAATTATAAAATAATTTAAGCATTATAGAAAATTTTTTATAAAATTTTTATAAATTAAGTTTTTTTCGATTTTTAATAATTTTTTTAAAAATATTTGTTATAATGAAATTTTTTAAATAGTTTTTTAAACTTTAAATAAAAATGTATAACAAAAAATTTATTAATAAATTATCAAATAAACTTTAATAAATGATTTTTTAAATATTTAAAAATATATAATTCAATTTTTATATTATATTAATTTTTAAAAAAGCAAATGTTCCACACTGTAGTTTAGTCATAATCGGAATTAATAGTAGACTAGATGACCTTGAGACATGCAATTTTTTATTGACTATTTTAACGCATACATATGACCATCTCGTGGCAAAGCAAAGTGTACAATACTTTATTTAATAAAACATTTCCAAAGCACTTAAAATTTACGAATAAATTATATCGTTGTATGGATTTTCCTTATTCTGAGTCGAGTATTTTGTTCTAAGCCAAAGGTTACATTTCATTTTAGTAAAACCTCCGTCGTTGTTAGGCATTATCATTATCATTAAATTGGATAATATTATAATAATATTTCAACAACGAACTTCGCATTATTGCTGATTGTTACACTAACAAAACCAACGTTTCAAATTTCTTTGAAGTGAACTTATAAATAAGCGTCGATATACCAATACTTAATTTATATTAAAATTTCAAATTATTAATTTCTTAATACAGTAAAAATGAATATCAAAAATCTTATCAAACATCCTACCTTTAAAAAATACTTTTATTACGTCACTCTCTTAGCAGCAATTTACTCTCTTGTAACCGATGCCATTTTTCTCTTAAATCTGATCATCGGGAATGACCGATGCTCATCATTTGAAAATAACAAGTCCCTGATTAGTGATGTGCTTCGGAGAGAAACTAACATTGCAAATTGGGATACCTCATATAATATTACCTACCCTTATTATAATCATTATTTTCCAGAGAATGCAACCGTATTTGACAGTCTGACAATTAATCGTGGAAATTATTTTAATACCTTTGTAATGTTTGACGATTTGAATAAGGGGTTCAAATCCTATGCTGGTATGGTGGGCACTGTAGACACATCTTTTCAACCTATTACCCTTGTTGCCGCAGCCGATAACAGTACTACCAGTTATTTTTTCATCCGTAAAGGTGATCTAAACCTGAAGTCAGTGTGTCAAGACATAATACCCAATTGCTTTGTGAAAAAGCAAATTCATTTCCCTTCTGCTGCGTTCACGTTTAATACTAAGGATGATTTCTACAATACTGGTGGTGTCAGTTTTTCCTTTTTTATGCAAAACAAAAAAAACATTGACAATTTCACCTTCAACATTGATCCGGATCTTCACTTATACGTTTGTCAATATGCTGAAAATCCTAAATTTTCTTATAGCTGGGCTAAGAAATATGGCACCGCAGTTGGTATAATTTTAGTTACGCTGGAATCGTTCAAGGCCGCAACTTCTTTAATTTCAAAGTGCATAGGGGATGCTATGCCGAGTCTTGTTAATTTTTCAAACAATTCGCCGATATGGTTCTTTTTATTGACTAAGGATAAATATGGAGATAATAGGAAAACATTAGAAACTGCAATGAACCTTGAAGATGCAAATAGTCTTCAGATTATTTGTGATACATTTCTGCATTCAATGCCCATGCTGGTGTTAACAGTTCAAAGTATCACATATCGATTCAATGAGATTCGTGTACCTCCTCCTACTATTTCCATTTTATCTTGCGTTGGCAGTTGTGTTATGCTATCAATCTCACTTTTTCGTATATATGTTGCTGTCAAGGTTGTAGTTCCAGAGCAAGTTCAGGAATTTAAAGCGGAGATGGCCCAATATTTTAATACTTATCCACAGAAAAGGCAACAAGACTTCAAGAATTTGACTTTTGCTTTGGTAGATTGTGTAATCAACCTCTTTCCATTGATTTTTATGATTTCTTTAGCAGTCAAAGAATTTAATAGCATCTTTATTTTCATCATCCCGATCTTAATTGCTCTTTGTAAGGTATTAATTTGCATGTCCATGTTTTGGTCACCACGTTTGCGAGGGCCTTTACCACATCCAATTATGTTTTCTTTCGCTTTAAATAGTCCGATTATGCCTTTCTTCTGCATCATTTCTTCATCAATTCGACAATTAACTACCATAATAGCTGTCAGTGGTGTAACTGCTTGGATCAGTTGGCCAATGGACTTTATAAGCATTGATTTGCCTATTTTAGTGGTGCTCATTATGATGAAAGTATTTGGTTACGGAAACAGTCAAGATGTATCCCTTATTCAACAGAACCATGCACTAGTTATTTTAGCTACTTTTTATCTAGTATGGAGGATTATCTCAGGTTTATGGTACACACGGAATTGTATCACCACGCAAGCTAGAGAAGACAAAGTTAACTCTCATTCAACAAAAGAAACTTATCCCTTTTTCCATACTTCAAAAAACCGGATAGGGTTTGGAATTTTCTTCTATTCTTTATGTAAACTCGCAATTTGGGTGACAGGCTTGCGAGCCATCATTTCTATGGTTTTCACGTCACAACCTCCACCACCAATTCCTGAAGCCTTTGTTACTGCTTCGCCTAAGATTCTAATGGTTCTTGGATTGATTATTTACCTTTGTTTGGACCTCATTGGTTCTTTGGCGCTGTTAATTTCATACTATGGTCGCTTTTCTACTAGGACCATTTCATTGTATATCAATTCGTCCTTTATTTCGTTTTTTTACACATTTCTTGGTCATCACTTTCGAACCGAATTCACTAATGCTGCAAAAGATCATATGGATACTTCATTTCTTTGGATGCAACGTGACATGGTGTTAATTTCTTCGTTTCTTTTCGTCTGGCCAGGGTTTGGGTTTGGATATTATCCTTATGGGTTTGACGATAAGTACACATGGTGGTCGTGGTATGGCTGGGGGTTTGATGTCACAACACAAACGGGGATGAGAAATGATGCTGAATGGTACTGGAGCTTTTTTGGGTTGGTTAGTTCAATATTAGGGTTTCTTTATTGCTTACTTTCGCATATTGTGATTTTGCGTGCAAGGATCCTGGCGCGTGTGAATCATATAACTGAAATTCCAAAATAAATGAACTTTTTTTATTCATATTTTCTCAAAAATTTTTTCGTGTCAATTGTTGCTTTTTATTTTTTTAAAGGCTTCGATATATTTGTGAGTTCTGTGACTGTCATGTTTGACTATATTTTCACATTCACGTTTAATAATACATAAAATTAAATATAATATACTGTAAACTCCCCTGACAAAAGTCACCAGCTGGCGAACGACGATATGGCTTAGAATTTGAGGAACGACGATTGTGCATTATAGAGGTTGTCAAAATGGATAATCGACCCTCAACCTTGTTATTTTCATTGTTTCTTTTATCTTCATTATTTTTTTTATTTTCATTATTTTTTTTATTTCTTTTATTTTTTTTATTTTTTTTATTTTCTTTTGCTGTCAAAAAGTATAAAAACAATGTAATAAAATGTAGAAAAGAAAGGGATATAAAAAAATATAATAATAAAATGTTCATTGAATAAAATTATTGCACTGTTCTTAACCAATAATACCTCTCTAAATCATAAAACCTTATCAAATCTATGCCTTTTTCTGCTTCTACACTTTCCTGTTATACTTGAAACCCCTGTATAAGTGTCATGAAGTCAAGAATTTTTTTAAAAAAATTTCTAAAAAATCTAAATAAATTTTTTATTTGAATTTTATATATTTCTAAATTATAACTTTTTTTTTTTTGTAGGTAAACATTATTTCTTTATTTGATTTGTATATATCAAAGTATACATTATAAAAGAAACAACATCTCTCATATGTAACTACAATGAGTTAAATGCTAGCTTGCCTACAGTAACTATTTGACTAATATTGAAAAAAAAATTTAAAACAATATATCTTATCAAATGATATCAAGCAGCTATGAATACCTACTCAGTATTAAGGAAAGAGATGTTGAATAATAGTGATATTAATTTTTGAATATATTTGAAATAATTATATTTATATTGAATAAATGTGTTAGTAACTATGCTAGATAGATCAATTATAATTTTTTCAGGAGAAATAATAGTAGATTGAATTTTGGTTTGAGAGTTGTGATTGTTAATTGATTTGAAAAAGTGAGGTGAAGTGGAAAACTTATTAAAGTTCCATTTGATTTCAGTAGATAGTGACATGTTGGCTATAGAACAACATGGTTTTCAAATAAGATTATATAACTGAGTTATAGCTTTATTAACTGTCTTAACCCAGTTGAAAAAGTCTGATGTGAAAAAGATTTTATTAATGAAGCTGCAGGATAGTTTAGCTACTTGTCATATATATGAGATTGATGTTTGATTATTATTTGGATAAAGAATTTGATTAATATTTTTAATTATTTGATCAGCTTTGATGGAGGCCTTAAGGCATTTGAAGATGTGATATATGTCTTCAGTATGAAATTCACATCTTAAACACCAAGCATCTGGGTACTGATTAGGATATAGCTAGTGAAAAGTTTTATAAGTGGATAAAGTGCTTGAGAGTAGTTTAATTCTGAATATGATTATATTGCTATAGTTGTTATTGTATAGTTTTTTAATATCCTTGTTGAATTTAATAATAACTTTTAGGCCATATGGAATGTGTTTCTATCCAAAAGTTTAAATAACAAAAGAACTTTTATAGATTATATAGTCTCTAATAATACTGAAGATTTTTTGTGCACTATCTAACACTACTGCTGAGGCATGTGTTATTAATTAGTAGGTTTTTTGAAAAATGTGATAAAGAATTGTTTTATTGAATATATCTAGTTGATAATGATTTGGATTTAGAATTGATATACTGTATATTATCTGTACTGATTTTTGTTATATTTGAAGAATTATTCTTTGGATTAGTGTTAAAAAATTGATTTTTACTATTCTTCTAGAGTATTTGAAAACTGGTTAAAGAATTTTCTTGTTACTTCCGATTTCAATAGTGTTGCAATACTGATTCCATTGAACAATATCAAATATTTCAAGTAAAATATAACCTGATAATAAGCAAAGATTGGAAAGTTCAACTTTGATGTCATTTATGATTAGATTATTTTTATAGAGCTGTATATAAGTATACTGCTTAAATCAAGATCTTGCAAAAAAGTTTGAAAAAGAGGAGTTCTAAATTATAACTTTTTAAATTTCAAATTATCTATTTAATATTTAGATATTATATCAAATATCTTTTATATACATTAGTTCAAATTAAATTATTTGATTATCAAATTACAATTAATTAAATTCAATTTTATTAATAAAAATTTATATTGAAGTTTTATTATTTAATTCAATTTATCAATAAAAATAAAATTATTTGATAATAAAAATATTCAAAAATAAAAAAATTATTTGACAAAAAAAAATTTTTTTTAAAGTAATATAGGCTTTTATTATTATAAAACCTAATATATATTAATATTTTAAGCTATACTTATATTTGAAAGGTTGTTTGTAAATTTTCAGAAATCAAATAGGATCTATAATTAAAAAATATCTTAAAATCCAGTTTTTTGGATTTATAGTTTAATCCTCAAGATATTATTTTACTTTAAGCATTAACTGCTTATAACTCTTTTAAAGTAAAGTTAAATCTTGAAAGAATATTCTATTCTGACAAATGTTATCAATAAATATTTTTATTAAAAATAAAAATAGTAGATGTTTTGATTACGGTTCTGAAAAAGTATCAAACTGGTATCAAACTGGTATCGAAATGGTACCGATCTATAGTAAATTTAATATATAAATTGTGTTCTACTCATATGTTTTTATAGTAAATTTAAGTATCGAACTGATATCAAAGTGGTATCAAAATAGTATCGAAGTAATATTGTTAGGAGCCCTAGTCTTGATAAATTACTTAGATTTGTAAAGAAAAGTTATGTTGATTTTTTTGTTGAAAGTTTTCAATCTATAATTTTCTATAATCATAAATCAAGAGTAAAAATCTCAAATAAAAAACTATTCTATTTATTTTATTTGTTTTTTAAATATATCATTAAACTTTTTTTTTTTTTTTAAGATATTATTGAATATGAATATAATAAAGAAATATATTAATTATTTATTTGTATGTTATCATTATATCTTATAATAAATCTAAGATTCTTATATACACTAGTCCAAATTGGGTTATTCGGCTGCCGAATTACAGCCGATTAAATCCAAATTTATTAATAAAAGTTTATACC